TGAGAAACATTTTGTCCCCCATCCAGAGGACTTCGTCAGTATACAGCCTGCCAACCAGATCTGTCCCATAGGTAACCTTCACTGCTGTGATTCAAGCCAACCTCCTGTCTAGAGAAACTTGTCACCAGTATGAAATCATCGGAGTGAGTGAGTCAGCACCTGTGTCTTAATGTTGTATTCTTTTACTTATGATCTGATTATTTTTTTTAATATATAGTTAGGTGTTTTTATTGTTTTACTGTGTTTTGTTTGTTTTTAATTTTGTACAGCACTTCGGACGGCTGCTTGTTGTATTTTAAGTGCTTTAGAAATAAATTGGTATGGTATGGAATCTCAAAAGTAGACTTTTAATGACACACACCCATTCAAAACAATCAATCATCATGTACAACAATCAAATGTTTTGATTGACAGCTGGCCAACTTGCTACTCACAGAAACAGCCTGAGGACAGCCAAGGCCAGGACTCTGCGGTCACTCGTTCAGGGATGAAGATGTGCACATCCTGGACAGAGAGGAACGATGGTTTGAGAGAGGAGTAAAGGAGGCCATCTTTGTGAAAAGAAACTGTCCATCATTAAACAGGGTGGAGGCCTCCAGGTCCAACTGTCCTCCTCTTACAAGGCTGTGATTGCTGGTATCACTCAGCCACATGTGAATAGCAAGTAGCCATCAAGGTGCTAACGATCTATTGTTAGGTTGATGGTCCTCCTTTATCATGTGAACAACTAGTTTTGGCTGTCAGCAGCAAACTGGTTGATCCACTATGACAGGGGTCTGCAACCTGCGGCTCTGGAGCCACATGTGGCTCTTTGGTCCCTCTGCAGCGGCCCTTTCAAGCTTTGACCAAAACTGACATAAAACTGAATTTTATTGGTTGTTATACAAACAACAACAACAAAAAGTACTAGTTTTAGCTGTTTTCCTGTCATTGCTTTTGTAAATACTTACTTTAACATTTTGCTTTGTTTATTTTTTCCACAATAAACAAAAATCACATAGGTCTGCACAGTTAAAAAAAAAAAAAAACTATTTTACCCCCCTCTTTACAAGAATCTGGTCTTTTCATTTGTCTTAAATTGTAAAAATGTCAATAAATGTTAAAAATCATTAGATATATTTAGCTTTATAATGTCGTCCCTACTGGCCACAAAAGTCTCCTCCAAAAAAACCTAAAGTTGCCCATGGGCCACCAGTTGATAACCACAGGTTGTTGCAGCTCTGGACACATGTAATTTATTGAATGAACATGTAAAAATGGCTCTTTTGGTCATAAAGGCTGCAGACCCCTGCACTATGAGAAGGTTTATTTACAAGAGTGAGTTTATTGCAGCTCCTCAGACTGAAGACGTCTTTCGGATAAAAAAACAAAAATGTTTCAACAAAGAAGAATCCGTCCAGATGACCTGACTCAATCTTAGATTTTGCTACCTGGATTATTGAGCATGCATCAGGATACTCAACCCTAAATCTAAACTTGATCCATGATCACGTTTAAGATTGAAATACAAGCACATTAAGCTAAATTTCAGTGTAACAGATTCTACAGTGGGTATATGTTTTTAGGATCTGGTCCCACATCCAACATCTTTTTACCGGACAGTTCATCGGGTTCATCAGACCAGAAGAACTCAACGGATTATATGAGTCCACGAAGTCCACAACCAGTACTCATCAGAACTTGATGATGAGAACGATGATGCTTTGTGAGCTCTCTGTGAATCCTAGTTTGCTGTGGGATGCAAGAAAAATCCTGCTGGGGCATCTGCAGATTACCTCAGGTTGATCGGAGACACTTTGAATTAACGGCGGGCGTGTTTCACGAGTTGTAATTAAATCCGAAGCTTCTTCAGCAAATGTTTAGTTTAAGGGTGTGCACACATACGCAACCATCTTGCTGTCGTTTTTTTTTTTTTTTTATGTTTCTCCACAGCTGGTTTTTATTTTTGTCCTCAGGTTAAGTTGCACGAGAAACATATCACAGTAATGGTGTTTGAAATTATTTAGAGAGGAGCTATTCATAAATTACTCAGGAGGCCACAGTTATTGAAAGCTACGAGCTCAGCGGCCGGACATCCATCAGTTGTTGTCATTAAGTAAGTTTGTTTTATGGTTTAAAATCTAGTTTTATTCAAAAATGAAGCCACTGGTGCCGAACTGAGCACACCGTGGGCCTGATTTGGCCCCCGGGCCGCCAGTTGAATAACCCTGAGAGAGTGTCATTTTAACATGGCTGTAGACGTACGACCAAAAGCTGCAAAAAAAGATAAACTTTCTGCGCTGAAACCATTTATTTCAGCTTTTGTTTGCTGTTTTAAAGCTCCTAATCTCAGGGCAACTCATTCCTGAAGTGATTATGAATTTTAAAAGAACTGAAGCTGAAAAGGAGCTTTGTCGTTTGGTTAGTTTTTTTTTTTTTGGTCAAATTTGGTCATTGGAAACACAAATTTCTGCTCGTCTGCTTCTGCAAATGATCCAAAACCCATTCGCTACAGACGACATGGACATGAATGTGTTTTCGGTGGCTTGCACCATTAAATATAGACTTAAACTGTAATTCCTGGGTGCAAAAAGCAGGTTTTAAACTTTAAACCTAACGGAACATCTGAATTTTAGGAGTCTCATTGAAGCCACGCAGTCAGGGACATTACATGGTTTTTAATTTAGGCCAAGATTGATCCGAGATGCAGCAGCTTTTGTTTCGTTCACAGAGATGATTAATTAAAGACGCTTTGCACAAAATGGATCAATATCTAAGCGGGAGATGAAGGATCCGGAGACGCCGGTCAACTTTGACCTTCTGTTCACTAGTGAGCACGAAGCGAACGACTCCAGACAAACTACGGACAAATCATGTCTCCGGTTAATCAGCTCGTGACTGTGTCATTGTTTGGTTTCAGTGTAATGAAAGGTTTCAGGTCAGGGCTTTTACAGGTGCGGCCTTTTTGCTTTTTATTTAACCACTTTAGGTCGCTGCTGAGGCCCGAAGAGAAGAACTTGGACACAATTAAAGGAAAGTTTGTTTAGGATATAATCTTGTTTGCCGCTGTTGAAACTTGCTCCTGAGAAAAGGTTCGCTTCATCTCCACTTGAAGACTTCAAAACATCAAACACGTTTATTTGGCCCCTCCGCCCAACGGTGTCTTTGTCGAAGAGCTGAGTATGGAAATGTGGGACTACTTCAATTGAAATCTGTCCCTTTGTGACATAAAATCCAGCTGCTCCTCAAAATCCACAACTTTTCACACGAATGAAGCTTCAAGAAACACCCCCGTGCCAAATCTACGTTTTAACTGATTCAGTTCAGTTTATTTATAGGGAAGGCAAAAAAAGACCGAAACATTTATTCAAAACAAATCGTTTCAATATTTGTATCAGATGAACGTTCCTTAGACGAGCTTATATGCGAGAGTGTTAGTTAAAGTGTGTGTTGAGAATGACTCTCAGCTACCACCACACCAAGTTTCAGGGGCGATATCTGTAAACTTGACTGTCTGACATTTTTTATGTTGGCTAACGCCATCTCGAAATGGATTGAATACAAAAGGTAACCATACAAATCTGAGAGTTTCATCCAATTCTATCCACTGATTCATGAGATATTTCGCTAACATTATTGCCTTCACCTTCGGGGTATGACAAATGACCTCAGATAATATTTAGCAACAGTCAACAATGATGAAAAGAAGCCTTCAGACGTCTGAAATGGTCAATTAAAGCCTAATTCTGCTAATTTTAACAGATTAGGGAGAAGTAGGTCAATCTGAGACGTAATCTTTGGAGTCGGGGCTGACACATGTCGACTTTACATCAGAGGATTGCAGCGTCCTGATTCAGAGTCGGGACAATGAAGGCATCAAATGGGCCTGGACACGACCCCTGGGTTAAACTCTGACCTTTTCACACACAATGTGTTTGTGAAATGTTCATTTAGTGCTAGAAACAGACGAGGACGGGCAAATCCAATAAATATGTTAAAGTCAAGAAACGTCACTGTCAAAAAAAGCGACGAATAAAAGAATGCACTTCGCCCGCCGCCGTTTTTGTCCAAATTATGAGATTACGATGAGCAAAACGGATTATGAGAAATGGCTTTTCTGTTCAGTTTTTTTAAATAACTTTTGTTCTTCACAATCTCGTGCAGTATTAAGAGATGCCATGTGTTTTCAATAACTCTCAGCTACAAAATGCACAAAACAGTATCTGTTAAAGTGACTGAGGTTTGATCATTAAGCTGATTAGCCTGAAATTAATTGTCTCCAAAGGTTAACAAGTTGTAGATGCACATCCGGTAATTATTTCATAAACGTTTCATTAAAATCCATCACGTGATTCAGGATATATTTGCTTTAACAGTGTTGACGTCAACAGTTAATGCTAAAGTTTTTAGACAATGTGTAGCGCTCGTGATATGTGTTAAGTATCATGCTCAGCTCCTACCACATCAAAATTTAGCTCAATCTATATAAAACCGGCCGAGTTAAAGCCATTTATGTGCTGGATAAGTTCCAATAGCTTTACCAGCCCTTTTAAAATTGGATTGACTCCAAAAGTTAATCAACTGTAGATGTCAATCCAAGGGTTATTTCCAGAAAGTTTTGTTAAAATCTCTCCCACGGTTCATGAGATATTTTGCTAACAGACAGACAGTTTGCTCAAAGAACGTTTTAGAAGCAGATCGTAAGCAATCGGTTCATGCTAAATGTGTTTGTGTTAGGGATGACTCAGGAGAAGTAGAAAATATTAAATAAAAAGTCAACTTTTACAGCAGAAGTGCTTCAATTTGTATTTTTTACGCTGTTGCCAGGTTGTGCGCAAACTCTTGCATCCACTGTGGGGACTTATGTGAATAATAAAACCAGTATATTTACCATAAGTGGAAAAAATGTTTGCAGAAGCTAAATATTTGATCTGTTTTCATTTTCACCCACAAGTTGTATTTGAACAGCGTGCGCCTCTGATGCGCACAAAGGGGGCTTTACCCGGATGTGCGCCGCTGCAGACATTTCTGCGGCTCCTCCCTGCGCCTTTTCACAGCCGTATAACAGGATCTCTTACTGGCGCGAAAAACGCACTGTGTGGCTCAGTGGTTAGAGGGCGGGAGGGGTTTGCCGCGTGTCCGAGCCCCCCAGCTGTTTCCGTCTTTATTTTTATTGTTTAAGTTGTGGGTTTTGAACCATACCGGGGGCTTCATTGCGTGGATGAACCGCTGCCTAACATTTCATCCGCTGGAGCACAGGGTTGTCCGCGTGCGTTAAATGCCCTGCGTCTGTTCGGACTCTGCAGAGATCCGGTGAGTTGATTTATTGTAAGTTTCCAAGAAGCAAACGGCGCACAGGGTTTAACCCCGCAGAGCAAAGACTAAATCAGGAAACGCTTCACCTACCCTTGTTTTATGTTTTAACTTTGACTTCCGAGTCGTTTTCAAAGAAGACGAGCTAAACAGAAGCGCTCGTGTCATTTCCTTCTGTGCGCATGTGTCCGAGCGCATCCGCAAGACGCGATCAATTATTAATGTGTCCCATTTGGTGAGGCCGGCTGTTCCGGGACGAGGGGTCCCATTAGGAGGATATCTGATCTGTGGTGGAAGGATCGTGTCTAATTTCCTCTCTGTCTGTTTCAGGACCTCCATTTCTGGGATTAACGTGGATTATATCAGCCTCAGCATGGAGTTTGACTGTTTCCAGCCTTATTTTTTCGACCGTTTCGACGCCGAGGAGGATTTTTACAAGTCTACTGCGCCCAGTGAGGACATATGGAAAAAGTTTGAGCTGCTGCCCACCCCTCCCATGTCCCCGCACCGGACCCTGAGCGGGGCGGCTCTCTACCTCTCCCCTGGGGACCAGCTCAGCTGGCTGACCAAGATGCTGGGTCAGGACGAGGACTATGAGGGACACTTCCTCCCGGACACCGAGGAGCTTTTGGACAACGTGAGCGCCCACATCATCCAGGACTGCATGTGGAGTAGTTCTGGCAGCAAGGAGAAGGTCAGCGGGAGGGTGTGTGGCACCCCGGCGCCGGTCAGACCGAGCAAAACACAGTGCGCCTCGCCGGGTGGTCTCCCCTCCGCGCCCTCGGACTGCGTGGACCCCGCGGCGGTCCTCACCTTCCCCGCCAGCAGCTGCAGAAAGCCGGCGTCGTCTGGCTCCGAGTCCCGCTCTGATTCTTCTGGTAAGGACACAGACATGCTGTGGGAGAGCCCCACCCTCCGTGCCTGGATTAACTTGCCCACTAACAATGGGTTATTTAGGGAGCAGGCGGCAGCGCAGCAGCAGGGGTTATCCAGTGCAAAGCCTCAAATAAGGCAGGATTTTTTTTACCCTTCCTGTGACAAAGCACCTCATGCTTCCTCTGAACAAGCCATGCTTTAAAAACCGCGCCCCTATCACTTCTAAAACTCCCCGCCTTTCTTTATCTGTAGCTGCAACACAATCAGGGTGCGGTTAAGGGGCCCCTGTCTGGATGATTTATTGCAAGAGTTTATTCATTTACAGAATTGTTGACCCCCCCCATTTAAATATCTATTGCCTAATTCCTGCTAACTTCCTGGTTTGGGTTAATCAATCCAGTTTGTTGGAATGTGAAACATGTTCCGTACTGTCTTCTTGTGAACCTTTTTAATAATTAGTTTTTCTTCTGTGCTGAGCAGATGACGAAGAGGAAATCGACGTCGTCACCGTGGAGAGCAAGAAGAAGCGAGTGCGGATGGTCAACGTCAGAAAGCCGGTCACCGTCACGGTGCGTGCCGACCCCTGCCCCAAACGCTTCCACATGTCTGTCCACCGGCAGCAGCACAACTACGCGGCACGCTCTCCGGACAGCGACCCCGAACCGGAGGATGATGATGACGACGACGACGATGAGGAGGAGGAACCGCAGAACAAACGCGCCTGCTCGGCGTCCCCCTCGGACACCACCCCACAAAGCTCGGACGTAGAGGACACTGACCGCAGGAAGAACCACAACTTCCTGGAGAGGAAGAGGAGGAACGATCTCCGGTCTCGCTTCCTCGCCTTGCGGGATCAGGTCCCCGGCCTGGAGGCGGCCAAGGCTCCGAAGGTGGCCATCCTGACCCACGCCACAGATTACCTCATGGAGCTGCACACCAAGGAGAAGAGGCACCTCCAGGAGAAGAAGCGCCTCAGATCCCGACAGCAGCAGCTCCTCCGCAGAATATCAGAACTCAAACGCTCATGAGCCGCCGCCTGAAAGCCTCGTCCTGTCACGAACTCATAACCCGTCACTTTGAAAAGCTATCCTGTTGATATAGCGCGATATGCCTCATGTACATAGCTGTGAATTGTTGTTCTGAATATCTGATGGACGCTTATTCCACTGTCGGAGCAGGAGGACTTTCAGTTAGATCTCTTTTATTCTTTGCACAGTTTTAAATTTTAGTTGTAAACAAGGGGTCACAGGCTTTTGTTTTTTTTAATAGCTGGTATGCTGTGACGTAAAAGTCTTTATTTTTTTACCTGTTTGGATGAGTGAACATCTTTGTTTTCATTACGTGCGAATGCCTTTCTACCTGCACGAGCTATTGAGTGCATCTGCTCCGATTGACCTGTTGTACATATCGTTTTGTAAATAATAGCATATTCCTCCGGTTCAGACGGATAGATCCAGTGGTTTGTGAAAAATTTGCTCCTCCGTGCCACAAAACCTCTATTTTGGTAAGAAACAAGGAAGAAAAAAAAAAAGTTGCACTGCTGTACTTTATATTTCACGTGTCACTTTGTGATTTCAATGCTTCTCTGGATTTTGTTTTTAAGCATGCTAACCTCAACAGCATAATTAAAATTTTTATACCTTATTTGCATAGAAACATGATGCCTTTTGGTCTTTTTTTTTTTTTTTTTTTCCCGTGTCTTAAAATGCACCAAAGTGGCTCACATTCCAGCATTTATTAGTTTCTATAGATAATCTGAGCTGGCAATAAATTAATTTAAATATTTGAAATTGCTCAAATCCAACTAAGACTCTGCTGATTCCAATGTAAATGTGGCGAAATGATCAAATTTGGCTTTTAACAGCTTGAGTCCTTTTTCTTGAAGGGAGATGTTTTTGTGCTTCAGCTGCTGCGCTGAAGGTTAACTGGAGTCTGTCCTTCAGGCTCGTCCTTGAGGACGAGAGGTGGATCCTCCCCTCTGCAGTGGCTGCTGCACACTGGGCACCTGATGTGCTTGGAAATGGGTCAGACGTAAATACAGCTGGAATCTCTTACATGTGGTGGTCAGGGAACCGGACTGGGTCGTGCATGCGGTGGTAAATCCATCCGTACTTGAACATCTGGAAGATGGTCACGTCTGAATCAGATGCTGCAGAGGTTTTTTGGGATGCAGTCACTCGTGATGTGCGCAGATGTTGAAAAGGGTGTTTTCTCTTCACTGGGACCCCCAGCTGACCAGACCTGCACCGCAACAGATCAATAACATGAATAAATACATGGTCGGAGGAGAATTGACTGGATAAATCAGAAACCGTTAAAGATTGGATCGCAACACAATAAGCAAAATTTAAATGCAATATCACTAATATGATAAAAAGACAATGCAGCATTGAGATAAGATGGAACTGCATTGATCCCACAGGAAATTGTGCCAAGAGTTTCAGTACAAAAGATCTCGCAAGATACAAATATATATATAATATATATATATATATATATATATATATATATATACATGTATATATAAATAACAACAATTAAGGTCTAAAACAGGTCGGACAAACATTAAAGTGTTTATTGTGGTGCAGGATTACTTTTATTGCCCAGAGTTAAGTTTAAAATGTGTCACTTTTTACTGCTTTAATGTCGACAGTTTTACACTATTTTGGTAATTTGATCATGTCAACAGCAAAACATGTACAGGAAACACCGAAACCATCAAAAACTTGCTCAGAGCACAAAGTCATCTGAAACATTTGATGACGTTTTGCTTCAAATTTAGTGTTCAGCCAACGCAGTGTTAGTCTGGACCTCTCGCTCTGAAAACATAAAAGCATGACGAAGTAAGGTTTAAAGTCTAATAATACTGTGATATAACTGAGTTTAATACATTGGGTTTAGTTTTATAGCTCATTTTAAAACTTTATAATTGCTTTAAACTCACATAAATATGCAGAACACATTTAGGCCGTGATTGCGTTTTTTTATAAAAACTGTTCAAAACAAACAGCATGTTAGATAAGACAACATTCCCCTCCATCGTATGTCTCTCTGCATATATCCAATATGATAATATTCTTCATATGTGCATTTAGGATCGTAGAAATTCACACGTGACTATCCCCCAACTGAAACACGTTACCACCGGAAAAGTAAAATGTTTGAAAGTTGTTTTTATTTTGTTTCTGGAGCAAGTTTTTATAAATGACTTTCTCAAATGTAACACTGGGGCTTATATTCTGTGTGATGAATCACATTTATATGACACTTAAAGCATCACTTTCCCTTCAAGGTGCAGAATTAGTTTGGTCTAAAGCTGACCTGGATGCTCAACACAAGGTGACTCCAACTTTGCGATGAGGAGGATGACTTCACCAGTGACGAGTCTCTGCAGGCCTCAGTGACTCAGCTCTGAGCTCCTGCCGTTGTTTAATGAACTCGGAGTCAACCATGTGGCTCAGGTAGTCCAGCCTGACAGACGAGCCTCGGCACACCTTGAACGCCAACCGTCCTGCGCTTCGCTCACCTTTGTTTGTGCCAGGGACGGTCGGTGTTTTACCTGTCTGTGTTTGCTCTGCCCTCCGGCCACTGTTTTGAAGCGTAACTGAATTACCATATCGGCATTTGTTCTCAGGAGGCTCAGATTAATGCACTGAAAAGTGACTTTTATGGACTTTGCAAGCATTTTGTCGTTCCTAGGGGCGTCCTAGTGCTCAGCTTCTCTTTGTGAACTGAAAACAAACCATCGTAGATGACTCTTGATAGCCATCAACAGCTTGTACTTTAATAAAAAAGTGAAAGTAATTGTCAGACCTCAAGACTTGGAACTGAAAGGAACAACATTTCCCGTTATAATACAAGTACAAAATTAATTTAAAATAAAGAAACACGTTTTAAAAAGCCGGTGATAAGTGCAAGAGTCCCGAACCCCTTCGGAGTGATGCGTTTTGCATTTGACCTCATTTTCTGACTCACAACAGCAACATGCAAAATGTCCGGCGCACGGTGTGGTTGAAGCAAACGAAAACATTACTGACCTTCAGCAAAACATGATGTTTTTCAGGTCGATCATTTTCAGAGACTTAAAAATCATTTTAGCTCGCTGCGTTTAAAGGCAGACGGGCGTAATGGCCCCAGATCACGCTCTTTAAGACAGCTTTCTTTTCAAACAAGTCTTGGAACTTCTTCCATTTGTTTCAGTGTTGATAATTAACCTCTGCTGATTAGTTTTACTTTGTTCCAAACCAGACTTCTTCTGCAGGGAAACAGTAAAGTCAGAAAGGATCTCTTTGTCCTCATGTTTTCTGCTGCTCTTGACAGTTAACTCGCCCAACCAGATTTTCTGCTAAACGACTTCAGAGGTGCAAGTTTGCTTGTGCACAAATGTTTCCTTTAAGGACATGCTCAGAATTTCACTTTAACTGATTACTCTTATCTTTAAGCCAAAAAAACAACCTTGTTATCCACAGCTGGAAAAAAATAACCATTTGGTTCAAGCGATTAAACCTGGCAACGCTATGCTGATGGTCATACTTGGGATGACGCACATCTGAACTGAATTCTGCTGTTTTGCGCATTACTAGATGGCAAGTGACCTTGGTCATGACCAAGAATTTGACAGTTTGTTGTGTTACCTTTTGGCATTTCGTAATATAATAAAATTCAACCTGAATATTTTGCAGAAAAACACAAAAACAAATGAGATTATCTCATCCTTGGCATGTCCCCCTGACAAGGCACTACCGGTCGTGCTTGCCGATCCAGCATTTCCTGCAGATAAACCTGCTTCTAGATAAAACGGGGAAAAGTCTGTTACTGCCTCAACGGGATTCTTAACTGCTTAGATGTGAAAGCGCAACTGTGTTTCGGGAAAGTGAGATGTCAACTTTCGCAACTGTTAACATCCCCCTTTGCTGAAGAATCACCTACCTCTGCAGATTTTAGGGAGCAAAGAACCATTGAGCAATTTTTGCAACATGTTTGACTGGGTGTGTTCTGGCTGGTGTGGTTTCAGATCACGTGTGTGCAATATGTGAACACTGAAAGGCAAAGAAAACAGACCATAAACAGACTGCATGGGTTTATGATTCTGAGGCACCGGCACAACTGGCTGCTTATCTCTGACCCACATGTTCGGAGTAAATAGGACGTATGATAAAGGAAAAACAGGTGAAAGGGTAACAACATGCTTTGTGTGACTATGAGCTTGAATAATCTCCCATTCTCACAAGCATTGGATGCTAAGGACTATTGTGCTGCACTTTAGCTTTAACAACTGTGGACCATGACATCTTATGTCATAAACTCTCAGAAATTGGTTTCTCAGATCACACCACTGGCTGGTTCTCTAATTATCTCTCAGATCGGAGGCAATGTGTTCAACATAATGGTACTTCTTCCAGCTATCTGACTGTTAACAATGGTGTACCACAAGGTTCAGTCTTAGGACCCACCTGCTTCATAATCTACATAAGTAATATAGGTCAGATAATTCCTGATGCATCCTTACATTTCTATGCTGATGACACAGTTGATTATTGTGCAGCTAGAACAGTCACTAAGGTACCAACTTTTACAGTCTGCTTTCGACATCATCCAGTCTGATTTGTTCCGTCTCAAACTTGTGCTAAACCCTGTCAAAACCAAAGGGATGCTTTTTTCAAACAGGAAGTTGGTACCAGCAGTCATTCCTTCTATTTTATCTTCAAATGGTGTCCCTATTGAGTTTGTTGATTCATATAAATACTTGAGTATTTTGGTCGATTCGCATCTCTCTTTTAAGCTTCATGTCAAAAACTTGGTAAGGAAACGGAAAGTTAAATTGGATTTCTTTTTCAGAAACAGATCCTGTCTAACTATGAATGCTAGGCAACGCCTTGTAAGTACTACTTTCCTTCCCTCCATTGAATACGGTGACATTATTTACATGAACGCACCTGCAAGCACCTTGCAAATGTTAGATGCTGCACGATGCGTTAAGATTCACAAGTGGCTGTAACTATCATACCCACCACTGCACCCTGTATTCACAGGTTAACTGGTCATCATTAACTTCACGCAGACACTCACACTGGTACATTTTCATCTTTAAATCACTTCTTGGTCTGCTGCCTTCACACATCTCCTATATGTCACTACATGAGTGCAGCTACAGCGTGCGCTCTCAGGACATTATTACCTGCAGTGTCCCCTCAGTGTGGACCAAACTAGGCAAAAGGGCCTTCTCCTACTCCGCTCCTGTTTCCTGGCACACCTTGCAAAAAGATCTGAAGCTCTCGACCTTGACCTCTCTAAGAGATTTTAAACAACTGCTAAGTTCATGGAAAAAAACAACACATGCGTGTTCCTGATTTTAGCATTTTACACCGCTTTACAATGTAGCTGTTTCTCTTGTAAATGAGTCCTCGAGACTCATCGAGACTAGCCTGTATAAATAAAGGTTGAATGAGTTAGTGTCTATTTTTGGGCCTGTGCACAAACATTTATTGAGGTCGCACATGGATTTTTAGTTTTCTGAAGGAGTGCAGCTAGAAGTCGTCCCTTTCTTACTCAACCCGTACAATGCAATGCACCCTTCCCCTTATTCTATTTTCAAGTGGCTGACCGTCAAGGAAGAAGTGGAAAACAGAGCCGGGAAAAAACGCA